AAGACTCCCCTCCCTCCAGGACATTCTCCGTGAAAAGATTTCTCTTCCAGGGATCCCTTAGCAAACGCCCTGCACCTTTGTTGTTCTCTTTTGGTCTCTTGATGTCCCTGAACCAACAGTGTGGCCAGGGTGTGCTCTCCCTGGTGGACACAGGGCAGCGTACCCCACTTGCACGCAGAAGCTCTTTCTGTACTGCTACCCCTCGGTCCGCGTGGCCCGGAGAGAGGCTCCAGAGGGGAACCATCCAGGAAGCAGGCATCTCATTCCCTATGGGGCTCAGGACCAATCACTGCGCGGCTGTCTTACCAGCTCCTGTTGGAAACGCACCAGCGTCCAGCCAGTCTCACCAAGTACAACGCTGTCCTGTGGCTTCTTTCGAGTTACTCTGGGACACATTGGTTGTTTCTCTGATAGGTTTACTAAAGAGTTGTATTTTCCTCAAGATATTTCATGGTTTAATCAATAGCCTGTTGTTTTGTGTAGTTTAGTCTGGAATTTGACTTGAATCTGTTCTAATATAATATGAAATAAAGACTCAAGAAAGCTCTCTGCTTTAAAACAACTTGCTTTGATGTTCTGGATTCCCATTATCCTTTATTTGAAAATTCCTCTGTTTCTGGTTACATCCCTGGGCATTTGTTTTGCTCTCATTAGTCCCTTTTTTAAAATCACAAATAAAATGGTGTTTAACTACTAGTCAATTTTTTTTTAATTTGAACTTGCTTTCTTTTAAATATAAACACAAAATATTTGCCTGGCAACTTTTAAGTGAAGTACTGACAAGATAATGTCTCCTTGCTGTGCCTGAAAACCTCCATCTAATATTTGTAGACATTTTCAGTGTGTCAACATACACATGCATAAAAACATGACATTTTCTTGCACACGTTTATAAACTACTTGCAGTTGTAAAAATCTTTACATTTAACAGTATCTGCGGACTAACGCTATGTGAAGAAGTAACATCTATTTCATTCTTCAGCATGACTACAGAGTAGGTGACTTTTATGGCTATTCCATAGATGGTTTAACTGGCAATCTTTAAAAGGACAGGTTTTTAAGTTGATGGCTACACGTAATGCCACAGGGAATATCTATCCATGCTTTGAGTGTCATTTAATCCAACTGTAAGTAAATCGGCCCCCTAAGTTCCTGCAGGTGGGCAGCTGGTCACAGGGAAGGGAGACAGAGAGAGAGAGAGAGAGAGAGAGAGAGAGAGAGAGATTGGAGAGGGTGAAAACACCAGCACGATTCTGATTTCATTAGTTTTAAAGCAGATGTCGGTAGTAAATGATGTCCTGTGGGCAAGAAGGACTAATCCTAAGTAGAAGTAGGAAAAGCCCAGATGCAAGAAGCAATCGCAGGCTTCACCGGGCTAATCCACCCAAGGCTCGGGCTGAAGGAGCGAGATAATCTCAGAATGGAGCGGCTGGCGTTAGAGACTCCAATGCAGTATTTCTGTCTCCCTCTTGCAATGGAACACCTCAGAAAAAAGTAAAGAGAGGGTCCTTGAGCTGGGGAAGCACAGGCACAGTGGACTGCGAGTGCTTCTGAATGAGCGGGTGTGGGAATGCTCAGCTCCTCCCACCTTTGCTTTTAAATATTTTCAATGAAGCTGTTTCCTGGTGCTGTCCTAGGGAGTTGTTGGGGAAGATGTGAGATTTGAAGCTTGGAAGTTTCTAGGTCCCTCTTTCTTAAGTGGGTACAGAGGGTCAGTTTTCAGACTCAGATGTGTGACTGAGCACCGGGCCTGGGGCCCCGGGGCTCATCTAGCTCAGCGCCACTTACAGATCTCCACGGCCCTCCCAGACAGGCCTTGAACTTATAGCAATCCTCCTGCCTCAGCCTCCCAGGTGACAGGTGTATGCCTGCAAGTCCTGAGATATACCTCTCATTTTAGTGGAAGTGCTGGCCGTGCATGAACATTACACTCCATGCTGAAAATCTGTGTGTCTTAAAATTTGTGTGTTGAAACCTAATCACGAGATGGGCAATTCCACGCATAATGTCTTTCAACTTCTTCACAGACCTACTGTCAAGTTAAATGCACTTACAGGTGAAGGAGAGGCTCAGTGAAATTGAGTATTAACCCAATAACTACATAGCACTACAGCGTACTTTCATTCTAACTTGTGAATGCAAGATACATTCTCCATCATAACCTCATGGATCTGAGGAAAGTGAGGGAGCTCCATGTAAACCAGCATAAGAATCCAATAGTAGGCTTTCAAGAAAGAGAATGGGTCATGTCACGTGACAGTTGGCCAACAACACATTAATGGGTACTTATTTTTAGGGCTTTTGTCTTATTATAATGCTGGAGTGAAATTAAGTGAGTGACAATGCATCTCAGGTATATGTCTTCTCTGCCACCCCAATTTTAATTTTATTATGTATCATCGTACGTGCTATGGATTATTCAGGTGTTCATGTCTTGGTCAGCTTAGTGTTGGTTTGTTGCATGTAGGCCTGTTCCATGTACCCTCCACAGGATGTTTTGTCTCCACTTGGATAATTCGTGTGTGTGTGTGTGTGTGTGTGTGTGTATTTGTTTTTTTTTGTTTGTTTGTTTTGTTTTGTTTCTTGAGATAAGGTCTCACTATATAGTAAGACTGACCTGGAACTCACTGTGTAGTCCAGGCTGGTCTTGAACTCAGAGAGATCCTCCTGCCTCAGCCTCCCTAGTGCTGGGATTATAGGCATTCTCCACCACGCCGGGCTATTTGTATATTTTTTATGCCAATTCCCTTTATCAGATGGAGAGCAATTTGTATATTTTTTATGCCAATTCCCTTTATCAGATGGAGAGCAATTTGTATATTTTTTATGCCAATTCCCTTTATCAGATGGAGAGCTGACTGTGAGGTTCACGGAAGTCACGTGAAGGAAGCTGGGAATGCAGCCATGAAGGACCAGGTCAGGCCCACAGTCAAAGAGGCCCCTGAGACATGATTACCATGGCTTTTGCCTAATTTGTAAGATAAGGCCAGCATGCCAGACACTACCCTTTTCTCTTGATTACGGCAATATTTCAAACCAAACTACTGTAATATACAAGATTTGATAAAAACTATGGTGAATGCTTAAAGTTTTAAAAAATGATTGCAGTAAAAGGCACATTATCACTAACACCCCTCAGCGCCTCGTTTCTCACACATTTCTTTTACTTTTCTTGCCACTTTTCAGAGAAGCCCTGGAAGGCCCTGTCATGAATGTCTTTAGCTGTTCCATTGTCCTGAGTGGACTCAAAATGTTTACCTCCCATGGCCTCGGTTACTTCGGAGAAGAGGCGGAAGTCACCTGGTGCCCGGTTAAGCAAATAATGAAGATGAGCACACGCTGTCACGTTTTTATTTAATAGAAATTTCCATACATGTTTTTTCAACAAGGGGTGATTAAAAATACAGTGAACGTTTACATTAAAAAGTTATTACAGTAAAAGCCATACTGCCATTAACTCCACCCAAAATACTCAATACACTCTCCTTTGCTTGGAGCACACTTGCCCATAAAAATTTAAACAGTAACCATATTTTTAATCTTCCCTTGTGTGCAAATGTCAGAATACTCTCAGTGATAAAGTACCCTGTGTATCGGAGGTGTTTTGTCAAGCTAGACATCACAGACACTAATTGTGTAATCAACTCACATATGCTGTTGTGCAAGAGTGCACTGTTACCAAGATTCCAATCAAAGCAGAGCAAGAGGCAAAGCCATTTCTGATAACTTTTGCCCAAACCACCACATATTTTGCCTTGTAATGAAAAACAAACAAAACAAAACAAATAACTTTGCAGATGGGATAGCAAATTGCACAGGATTTCAGTTTTGTTCTTGGTACCGGGGATCGAACTTAGGACCTTGCTCTTTCGAGGAAGGCGACAGAACCACTGAGCTAAATCCCTGGCCCCGATGCACAGGATTTTGGGAAGATCAAATCCTAATAATATGGTTTTTATCTAGACAAAAGTATGTTCCTCAGCAGTCTTCCATGAGACCTAATTTAAAGTGTGCATGTGAGAGCAAGGCCTTCCCGGTGTCAGCTTTCAGGGTGTGTGTGTGTCCTTGAGGAGCACAGTGAGCGAGCGAAATTCTGGAATGAGAGGCCCACCGCGAACAGTGCAAACCCCCGTGCCTGGTAAACGATCTAGTTATTGCCACAGCCTTGATAGAATTACACTCGCATCGTGGATCGTGTACCAATGAATTCTGAGGTCTATAAATCATGCACTATTCATTTACAGCAAGGTGGCGAGTATTGTGTAATGCAAAGTGCCAGGGATGGTCGCACCAGTCACCTGGTCCAGTGACTTCATTCAATCACTTTCACGATGTCACCGCTGCATCGTGACCATCACTGTCTGAGGCATTTCCTCTGCAGAGCCACTCTCCCCCGACCGAGAGGTTATTCCCCTTCATGAATGTCACTTCACCCAGGGCCCAGTCCTCCTGTGCACACACAGCGAAGGGCAACCCACAGCGCATCCTTGTCCTCACCGCAGGTTTTGCCAGTTTAGGAAAGGAACTCATCTTCTACCTCGGTGTACCCCAAAGCTCCAAACTTTGTCATCATTAGCATCCAATGAGCACTCAACAAATAAACACAAAACAAGAGGAAGGCCGAATTTTATGAGCTAACATCGTAAGTCCTGAAGTCACACAGCATTAAAAAGAGGAGGCAAGATAGATAAATGTGAACAGTCCCACTTCTCCTGCAATATTAATAGGCCCTTAATCTTGTCATTATCCAGGGCGTTGTGATCTTTCTAAGGTGAATCAAGCCTGGTTCTCTGTCACAGGATTTGACAGAAATTTTAATTATTTATATGATACAAGCCTATTATAACAAAGCCCATTATTCATGTCAAATGTATTAATATATATGAAATGTCCATTTTCCACTGGAAGTAGGCACAGTGTTCCAGGGGCACTAGCAAAATATTAAAAAAGGCAGAATCTCTGGGATTTTTGATATATCTAGATACATAATAGACCCCTAAGTTACCCCTGAAGTATGCTATAACTGCATTCTGCTCTATAATAATTGTTTTGTATGTATCCTAAATCTCTTAAATGATACGGGGGTGGCTGCACAAGCGAGTAAATTCAATGCTCTCGTGTTTTTCCCAGCTGCTGACTATCTTAGTCACTGACTCTTCCCTGATACCTGACATCCATAACTTAAGAAGAGGTTGACTTTGGCTCACAGTTTGTAGAGGTTTCAGTCCATGGCTGGCTCCATGACGTGGCAGAGGAGCATGGAAGAGGAGGCTCCTTCAAGCTGGGCCAGAAGCAGAGAGAGGGATCAAGGCAGGAGGAAGATCGATCTTTCAGACCCGCCCTCAGTGACTACCTCCTCCCTCAGGCTTCCCCTGTCCACATCACATTTAGCTATAAACTCATTAGTAGATTAATTTACCAAAAAGCATCACGCCCCATGATCCAGTCACAGCCCCCCAAGACCTACCTACGGGCAGAGTGAGGCTCCAGGGGCCACCTCCATACAAACTGAGACAGTGACCTGTTCCTATGGCAGGGAACCAGCAGGTAAACAACTCAGCCACTCTGGTCTTCAGGAGCCTTCGCTGGCCACGGAAGCCCTATCTGGGTGTGGGAAGAGAGAAGGTGTGAAGACGTGGAGGCGGGAAAGCTGAGGGCTCCTGGCTTTCCCCCAGCTCTGCTGTGGTTGACCTCTTCCATACTGGTTACTTAGCCTAGATCAAGATGGTTCATTTTTTTATAATGGTGTTTTATCTGGGTTTTATGAACCCATATTAATTTTCCATATCTGTGGAAAGCACGCGCTTGATGAGGCGGAGCGCACGGGTGGGGAGCAAATCACAGCCCTCACCTCCTCCACCAGGGACACTGGGTCCAGGCCTGGCCTTGGCCCCGAGATGCCTCCTGGTTACATGTGACGAACGGGGGTGGGAAGAGAGGAGGGAAGGAGGGAGGGAAGGAGAGGGAGAGGGAGAAGGAGAAGGAGAAGGAGAAGGAGAGGGAGAGGGAGAGGGAGAGGGAGAGAGCGCGAGAGCACCCCCCCACACCCATCCGCCAGGCGGCTTTTTAAGGTCCTCGCCCGGATGTGACGCACACTCACAGCCACGCCTCAGAGGCCCGCCCCAGTCACGCGCCCCTGGGAGTACGCAGGCTTAGTATGGCTGTTGCTGTAAGGAACACCCCACGTGGAATGAAGGGGTGATGCAGACACTGGTGACTGGCAGTGTCCGTTATAACTCTTGGGGTTTTGATAGATCTCTCTGTGCAACGTTGTCTAACTTTTTTTTAGAATTTGGAAATTTATGAATTAATTAATTGAATTAATATTTAATGACAGTTAATACATTTCACATCATGCATCCTTGCGTCTTCTCATGACGTGGTGAAAGGCTGATCCTGATAGGAGATTATAACGTGACCTGGGAGGGAGGCGAGCGATAGGCAAGCAAATGGAGATTGGGCGAATTGTTCTCTGATCGTAAATGTTCTCATTTTGAATTATAATATTTGAGATTTGCTTCTGGTACCGACTGTGCTCTCCCCATGTTTTACAGAGTAACACCGTCTGGTTGGTGTGTGGACGGCTTTGGTGCGGATGAAACTCTGGGATGAATTGCCGTCTTGATAGATGGTGTGCTCATGGGCGGGAGAGGAGGACGGGCAGAGGGGAGGCTTTCCAGAGCATTGGGCTGTCCGCCTGCACAAACTCAAGCAGTGTTTGCTGATTACCAGTGAGACTGTAGGCTGTAAGTTTCAAGGATTTTAGACGGGTCTCATGTCAGTTTACCTTCAATTAATACTGACATCTGGGTTACCATTAGCATAATGCTAGGCATGAAGGAGGGTCTTGATAAAAGTTAGTGCCTCCTCATCTACCCAGCCATCGTTTGGAAAAGGACACCTATTAATTGGTAAACTAAAATGACGGTGAACAAGCAAACTGTAAATTTGATAAAGTAGATTTCAGGGAAGGATGTAATCATTTGCAGCATAATATGTCAGCCTGGAGTGATTTTGTTTCAAGACAAGGTCTTGCTGTTTAGGCAGGTTGGCCTGAAGCTCAAGGCAGTCTTTCTGCCTCAGCCTTGGGAGTACTGGGAGTACAAGCTTGTGTCACTACATCTGGGTTTTTTTTTTTTTTCCTTTTACAGAGAGCTGCAATAAGTTTTATTCTTAAAATTATCAAGCAATGAGTCATATGCACACAGTGTTGACAGGTTACACGGTGATTAAGGTTTATAATTCAACATCTTGTTTCAAACCTCAGTTATAACTAAGACCTAGGCCCTTATTTTATCTCTGTATCTTTGCCTCACCATAGAAATGTGAATTATACTCCAAAAGTCTTCATGGCTGATGACAAAATATGCCAACAAGAGGCTTGATTTGACTTATGTATCCTTTCAGTTATTACAATTTCTTTTCTTTCATGTTACACCTTGTTCTGGATTGTGTTAAATAACAACTTGTCCTTGAAATTAGGCGTATTCTGAGATACCAGAGAGCAGGGCAGAGTTCAGCAGTATTTTAGTGCTATTACATGTTTAAAAGATGGCTAAAAAAAAGGGAAGGCAATTTTTAGTCTGGTCTCGAATGACCCTTCCTTATAACCCTACCTACTGCAGCCAGCTTGCTTTGAATGGATGGAAGCAGACAATCATGGACCTCGTTAGTGGACAAACCACGGAAATGATGTCAGCACCGCCGTGGGATGCAGGATGAGAAGCTCAGGAAGAGGAAGCTTGGGGGGACTGTAGGGCAAAGGGCAGCATCGAGTGAGGGCCTCAGCGGGGTGAAGCTAACAGGACTGAAAAAGGAGCCTTCATTCCAGCGGCCAGAGCATTGATTAACTGGATACTCTCTGGCTTTCACAACGCAGAAGTCAACATAAACAATGTTGGACTGAACACAATTAAGGGACTAATTGTAATATTAGGTAGATGGAGAATTCCCCTCCCACTCCCAGGTGCAGGGGCTGAATCATTCTGAACTGTCTCTTATCTTTAGCTGGGAATCTAATGAACATCTAAGTTTTTTAACCCTTGAAGAGATCAAAAGGATGACGTGAGTCACCCACTTTCCCCTGTTCAGGATAACCATTCTCTCTGCTCTTGCGCTCCTTCTGCCTGCCATGACCCTCCCCTAGGGCTCAGCTCAAATGTCACACTACGTCCGGACCAGCGTCATGCACCCAGAGACAGGTGCACCCTGCTCTTCCTGTCCACTGTAGCCTTCCTGGTCAGCCCCTCAATAATACCTGTGTCTTCCTGTGGAGCTGAGGGCTGGAGGACTTGTGCTTGTTTTCATTTTGACACCCCAGGGGCGCAGAGAAGCTAGGAGCCTAAGAAGTAGGCCAGAAGTGGAAGCTGGGCACTCAGAACACAAGGTGCACACAAAAGTCAACCATGGAGGAGCAGTTTTATTTCGCAGACCGGGGTGGTGGTGGGTGGGACCAGTCAGGCCCATAGCTGTGGCTGTGACCCCTGCTCTCTGGTCACCACACCTGTAGGTGAGAAGAGGGAAACCCAGCACAGGCTCAGAAACTTCAGCTCTGTGGTGGGGCAGTGAGAAGGGAGATTTGGGTCATCCCTATTCTTTAGTCTTGTATCTGTTGCTAAAACCAAGTACTTGAGTCCAGGTGCTTTATGAGGAATCCATGCTTGTTTGGCCCACTGTTCTGAAGTGTGGGGACCAGGTTTGTGTCGTGCCTGCACTGCTCAAAGTCTGGTGACCTAGTACGCTGCTGGTGGGATGGGTCTAGCTTAGGTCTCTTTCTTCTTCCAGAGCAGCTATTGCCCCGTGGGACACACACTCGTGACCCCGTCTAACTAATTACTTTCTAAAGTCCTCACCTCTCCATTTTATTCAGTAATGAATTAGACATTAAATTTTTTAAAATTTATGAGTATGCGTGGGTCACTGTAATATGATGTCTTTAACCTTTTGGGAGCTATCTCAGTAGAGGAATGGCTGGGTCCAATGGATTTCCCAATGGATTTGTTTTTTTGAGGAATCTCCATACTGATTTCCATAGTGGTTGGACTAGTTTACATTTCCACCCACAATGCAGAAGGGATCCTTTGGGTGTTAATTTCTTCATCCACGGACTATGTTCAAACCACAGCACCTCAGTTATGCAAGGGAATGGCTTGGACATAGAAACAAGCCACTCGATGTCTTTCCCTGTGCAGGCCCCACTCTCGCATAACCCTCTGGCTTTACAGACCCCGAGGGCTCATTAATAGCTCTGATCTCAGCCCAAGAAAGAATGTCAGGAAGTAGACATTGGTGCAGTTTTGAATAAAGAAGAGTCACAAAAGCAACACAGGACAGCAAATAAAACCAAATACTTGGAAAGGCACAGATGGACAGATTTTAGAAAACAATAACATTTCATTGTATCAGAGAATTGGGATGGTCCTATAGGTGTTTATGTAATATAATTTGCCCGTGATTTCCAAATGAGAAAAATCTTCTCTTAAATGTCCACATCGTCCACCTTTGACTTCCTCTGTGTTAAAATATGTGTCATGTGTCTGTCTGGTCTTTTAGATCTCAGATAAGATTTTGCTGAAGTCTATCACATATTGTCGTCCCACTTAGATTTTCTTCATCTCATGAAGGACTACAGGGAATTTATGTCTTAAGGCCAGGTTACATTTTGCATAAAACATTGAAGATGTGCACAAAAAAAGATATAACTACCAAAAGAAATACTTGGTGGTGGTAGGGTAGCAATTTTGCTGCATAAGCCTCCACAATTTACTCTAAGTTGGATCCTAAGTGTAAAAAACATTGAAAAATTACTGATTTTTTAAAAAAGGCTACTTGCTTTCTGATTCTATTTCCATCCACTTTAGAGAAAGTAAAACTATTATGAAAGAAAGCAGAACGCTGGTCCCCAAGATGCTGTAGTGGAATGAACTGCAAAACGGTGTGAAAGAAATTTTAGGGGTGATGGAGATGCCTGATGTAATGGTTGTGGTGGTTGTTACATGGCAGCACACATTTGGGAATCACACAAAACCGCACCTGTAAAATGGAGTACTACGCACCCATAAAGAGTGACAAACTAGAGACATTTATAGCTAAATGGGTGCATACTGAGGCCATACTTTTAAGTGAAGTAAGTAGGACACACCAAATTGTCTCTGTGTCTCTCATGAACAACTGAAACTTTAAATGAGAACCAAATTGTATAATAGATAGTGTGAAGTAGGAAGAAAAGGTTCAAAGGGGAAGTAGAGAGAGGGATGTGGGGGAAAGGAAAGAAGGGCAAATATGAGAAAAGGAGAAAACAATCAAAGCTTTTGTAAATAGGGAGGGGTGGAGGTGTAGAAGAGGGAAGAGGAAGGGGGAAAAACGAGATCTAAGATATATCATGTACTGTTAGGAATTCCCAATGATCAATGTGGTAATAGTGTATACCTAAAATTATTTAAAAAATAATTAGAAAAAAATTGAAACTAAAGCTCTAACTGGAAAACTATCTGTGAAAAGTAATTGAAATATAAAGACATTTTTATATATGTCAGAGCTTGGAAAACGTGCTACTTTTGTGCCTAATGTGAATAAAACTCTTTGGAGCCCCCCCAAGAAAGTGCCAGTGATGACTGGGAGGGGTAGATTCTAATGCGCACAGCATGACCGGTGCGTGCCCTTAGTTTCATTGCGATCCAGGTGACCTACAGTGAGATCACCAGTTTCCCCCGTGTAGTCTGTGACTCCCGGAGGTGTGCGGCTGCTTTGCACCCAGCGCCACAGCCTGGCCTGACCTGTTCGTCTGCTGACAGCTTCGCATTATGTACTTGTGTTGCACACTTCTTCCTTAGCACTGTCTCTTAATCGGTAGCTAAAATTTTTGACAGCTTACTCTCTTGCTGTGGACTTTACATGGATCTCTCATTTAACTCTCACTACGCCTGTGAGCC